ATATATATATATATATATATATATATATATATATATATATATATATATATATATATATATACACTCTATGGGGTGTACTTACATATAGTTTGTTGCATCGATATTATTTTCGTGTAATATAACAAAAACAAAAAAAAAATGGAAGAAGAAAGAAAGAGAACAATAAATTCGCTTGAAATTGAAAAAAGGAAGAAGGTGTGTGTGTTGTGTGTGTGAGAGAGAGAGAAAGAGAGAGAGCGTGTCGTTAAAATCGCTCGGCCACGAACGAACACCACGTTTATTGTTAGAGGTAGTAGACTATCTCGAATCTAGTAGGAAAAAGAGAGTATCAAGAAGAAATACGAAAAAAAAAAGAAAAGAGAAAAAAAAAGCAAGCAAGCTCGGAGAGTTAAAGTTAAGTCGCGGTGGAGAGAAGCTAAGATTCCAAGTACGACACACCGGAACTGCCAGTAATAAGACTAAGTGGCGGCGGTTAATTGCCAAGATTCGGTCGGTGGATCCTCTTTCTCTCTCTCTTTCCTCGCACTCGAACGTACGTTTGCAAGAGAAGGGGTTTGCAAGAGAAGGGTTTTGCAAGATCTCCTATCTGGAATCCTCGAAGAGCTGGTGTGTGTGTGTGTGTGTGGGTGTTGGGTGTGCAGGGGGTGGTGGTGGTGGTGGTGGTGGTGGTGGTATCTTTTCAGTGCACACACCGCCTCATCGACAGCCGAACTTCCAACCTTGCCAACACCTTGCCAACACAGATCGTGTCCGTTGCACGCGTCCGTTTCAAAAATCACCGCTAATTAATTTGCATAACACAGTGCAACGAATCCTTCTTTTTTTTTTCTTTTCTGATAATCTAAGTTTAGATACAAAGTTTACACACACACACACACACACTCCTTCCTTTTATTCTAACTTTGAATAAATTGGAAATATAATAACGCGTAATAACACAGGAAGAAACTGTCGTCGATAAGAGAAGGATTGCAAAACACACAAAGGGGATTATTGGTCTCTCTTGTGGTCTGAGATATCAGAAGAGTGAGGTTTTTTTTATCGGAACATCAGGGACGACACTCTGGCGTTTCATTCTCTTTTCCACTGTTTGCGACTCTCTCTCTCTCTCTCTCTCTCTCTTTGGAAAAAGATCCGAGGTCAGACAATGAATACCTATTAAAACGGTGTGAACAATGCTACTCTCTGCTACCGTTTGGCCCGTTTCACCGGTGGTGTGTGGCTGTGGGATCGGTGAGCGGTAGCGGGTAGTATTGCTCAGGGACAAGAGCAACACCGGTGCTAAGTAGAAGCCCAAGCTCCTCTGGGTCGGTCCATGGTGATATACTGCGAGATCCGCGATACCAGGACCAGTGCTGCTTCGCGGACCCCGAAGAGTAGCCAACGAACAGGGCGCTTAGTTTCTCTCTTTCTCTCTTTCTCTTTCTCTTACTCTCACTCCTAACTCCTCCATCCGGATTCGTATTCGTGCGCGTGCATTACCTTGCATACGCTATTGCGCTCGATATCTCTCATCTCTCACTCTGCCGAGAATCCACTCTCGTCTCTCGTTTCTTATTTTTCTTATTTTTATTTTTATTCTTCTTCTTCTTCTTATTCTTCTTCTGCTTCTTCTTCTGCTTCTTCTTCCTTTTTATTTTTTGTTCTCTTCTTCCTCTAGAGAACTTTGCCACCCCCGAGACTTCATCTTCGGTAATTCCATGTGTCTTCTTTTCATCTTCTGTCTCTCCTTTCAACGTTTATCCGTTAGATCTCAATCCAAAGAAGACTCTTTTAACACTCTCCTGTGTTATACCAACTGTTTTCTAAGTAAGGTGTTATGATTATATATATACTCGTGAATAGATATTTCATAATAAATTAATAAACTGTAATTATTAATACAGTAACGTAAAGGTTACTTTTTTATTAATTTATACAAGATATTATAGTTCGTTTTAAAAATAGAAATAATGATAAATCGAAAATAGTATTTTTAGATGACATTAAATCGATAAAAAAAAAAAAAAAAGTTGGTTGCATTAGGAAGGTGGTTTTCGTGTAACTTTGCACAAAAGTCTTGCCGTTCACCTTCGCCCTTAGATCAGAAAAGAGGGATGAGGCCAGGCAAGAGGTGGTTATTCAACCAAACATAAGAAACAGCCTAATGGCGAAGGAAAGAGAAGACTGTGGGACAGCCCAATGAAAGAAGGAAAGAAAGAAAGAAAGAAAGAAACGAGCCTACCCATTATCCTCCTGTACTGTGCCGATTCTTCGATTGACCCTAACTGATTGTGATTGCAGATGAGATTATGTATAAGGGCGTGCGTTACGAAAACGCGCGAGAACCAAACGCCATAAGAGAAACATGTCGATAATAATGAACCCGATCTTTGATTTTCAACATTTTTCGTTTTCTTTTATTTATTTTTTTTTTTATCCTTTCCTTTAATTGCAATTTTTTTTTATAATCCTGCTGATTTCTCAACTCGTTAAATTGTAATTCGGAAAATGTTGATGAACCTTTTTACATTACAAAGTTAAAAATGAGACAATAAAATAGGCTACAAATTTTACACGTTTGTTGCCCAGCCCGTTATATTATATTATTATATTGTCACGTTGTTTGTCCGCAATGAACTCCTAAACTACTGAACCGATTTTAATCAAATTTTCCACACTATATGCAGTTTCATTCAACTTGAAAGATAGGATACTTTATATCTCAATTTATAACCGCAATAAAATATAAAAACTATGTTTTATTTACCAAAAATAATTTTCTTTCGAAATGGGAAATGTGATAAGTTTTTCCAACTAAAAAATACTCGAACTTCAACAAGAAGAGCGTGTTGTCACCGTATACGGTGACGGGGCTTCCAGAGAAGCATGCCCGTCTCCGGTATACAGTGCTATGACGACAAACTTGTTAAACAGATTTGACACTATGAACAAATTTGGAAAAATAATTTTAGTACAAAAAATTCATTGAAATCGTAGAACGTTACGTTTGATTTTCATCTTAACGCGATTTAATTAAATCCCAGTGATAAATTTGAATGATTGTATTACACGATTCAATGTATAAAAGATAATTTTGATATCGTATAACTGGTATTTTACAAGAAGGATTATATTTATCGTTTTTTTCTTTTTTTCTTTCTTAACACTAGTAATCTAAACTCGTAATAAAGATAGCATTGTGTCTTTTGATAATGAAAATTTCGTAGAAATCTCGAACGAAGTGGTAAACGAGAAGAAGAAGAAGAAGAAGGGTGCCTCATTCTGCCATTGTCTTTCTCGAGTCATTGTTTTTCGAACTGATAATCTAATAACGAGTGTTTCGCGTGTTTTCCCCAACTTTTCACGAATAAGATACTCTACTACTTTCAAATTTTCTATATATATATGTGTGATGATATTTTATATTAACAAAATAAATCCCACTTCCCCCCCCACTACTACTACTACTCTCTCATCTTACGTTGAGAAATCAATCCAAATTTTGTCTATACGTAAGACAATCCGGTGGTTGTTGTTTTTGGTTGAAATATTTGACCAAAAAAAAAAAGAAAAAAGACATGAATTGTTTACCTTGAAAGTAACTTTTGGTGCGTAGATAACTGACGCTGAGCCTGAGGATACTTAGACGATCAAGTTTGCTTAGAATATTTTGTTCGAATGGAAGTAATGATGCCAATGTATCCAGTTCGGCGTTCAAACGTTCTCTGTGTCGTTTACTCGGATTAGACTTCGTCACGCCATCCTTTTGTGGTGGTTTTAAACTGTAAACAAATATTTAGAAGAACTAATATTAATACACTGAACCTCTAAGAAGATATATTTAAATAAAACATTGAATTCATTTTCTTTTTTTTTTTAGAAAATATAAAAAAAATATACGAACGTGTATAAAAGATGAAAAAAAAAAAAAAATGGAAGGACCGATAAAAAGAAAGACCAGTGGCTTATACTAAGTCTCTCCAATTGATTTCTTTTTCTTTGCCACACCTCCTGTTAAAGGATTCCGGTGATTCCAATCAGCCAGTGTCGAGTGTCCTTCCTTCGAAATGTTTGGCCAACGAGGACGAAACGGGAGAGAACAGAAACGCATTCGAAGGATTTCGATAATTAAAAGTTTTCAGTGGTAGCACAGCTGCTGATTGACACAACGTTCAAAACCCTTTTTCTGGGGGACTCGTATATACCAAATTTATACTCATTATTGTGTTCCCTAACATTTGCAAAATATATTCTCTTAAATTGTTAATAACAGTCTCGTAATATCGAATATTTATGTTAACATGACTCGCCATTTTTTTTTTTAGAATAAAATGTACGAATTTATTTTAATAATTGTGACAGTGGTGTCAGATGTCGTCTACTTGGTGATCGGTCTATTAATAAACAATCAGACTTTTTCTTTTTGTTATAATTGAAATTATTGTTAATAGATTTCGTAATCAATGATTTATTAAATAAAAAAAAAGAAAATCTTAATACGTATTCGTACGTGTAAGTTTTCTTGACTTGATACTAGGTTTTTAGTCTGTCAGTGAAAATAAGGAAATGGAGCATTTTAATTAGTAACATTAACCACAACGAAATACCAATAACATGCTAATTGTTCTTTTATCTGACTCTGACGGTAACTTTGAAATTTGCATAATATCGTTCTCGGTAATCGCCTCCTCGGTCTCTCGTCTTACTTTTAACATTTTATTATTATATTGCATATATATATATATATATATATATA